ATCACTTCAAAAAATTGAAACCACCGCAGTCAAAGTGTGGGAAACTGATGTATTTCAATTTGTGTCAGAATCTATCATCTTCAAACAACTCCAACATCTCTCGGCTAAACTCTACACATGTTTGAAACTCAACTCTTAGAATTATTCGAAACTAAGTTCCCAGAAAATTCAAAAAGACTCAATAATATATCAATATATATCATATAATCACAGTTTTTATACTTGTTTTTTCCCCGCAACTGCTCGCCGTGTTCAGGTCACTCCAACTTCAATGCCTCCGCCACGGACTCCTCCAACTCCGCCAGCGCCTCGTTCACCGCGGCGCAGCGTTCCAGGCGCCTCTCGTAGCAGCGCAGGCTGCGGCGCAGGCGTCGCTCTTCGGCCTGGAGGCGTTGAAGCTCCAACCTGGAAACTCGAAGCGCAACGAAGCGGGGATTTCAGCATCAAAACTCACAAGGGAAAGGGAACTTTTTACCGTGAAAAAGCCCGGTTCCAGATCCCTGATCCAACCCGGGCCTTTTTACACGAAACCGTAAGAACCCGTGGACACACAGTTTGGGGAAAAAATGAAGGATTTCACCCAAATGAGGAGGAGTTCAGCAGCGAAAATGCCCCGTGTTAGACCCGCAACCACTGGGTTTGGATGGGAATATTATTGAATATGAAAAAAGTCCAAGGGGGTTGGTGGAAAGTGCCCGAAACTTGGGATGGAGATCCTAAAATCCAAAAAATACAAAGGTCAATGGGTCCAGGTAGATCATGTTTTGAGAGAAAATGATTGAAATATGACTGAAACATACTGAAACCACCCACCAGCCACTCAGTTCCCACATCAATCTGTTGGTCGAACATCTCTGGGGTCAATCCGTGGGTCTCACCGAATCCACATTGGGTTTTCGGCTCCACCTCATCTGACGTCACCTTCTGCTTCTCTTGTCTGCATCTCGTGTACTTTGTCGATGCCAGGGTATGGGGAGTTGTATTTCTGCAACTTTCCAAGGTCTGTAAGTCTTTCTTGCACTTCCTCACCAGACATTTCAAATGCTTCTTGGTCGCAGTGAGTTCATGTAAAAGAACATGCGCTCTCTGCACTTGAGAAGACGCTGTTTCCACACGATTTTCGGGTTTGCTAATGGTCCAGTCCGCACAAGAAATGGCAAAGTCAACGTCCCTCAGCTGTGCATCCAGCTGCCGTCTCAACCTCTGATCTTCAGCAGAACATCGGGCCAAGCACTGGGAAACACACTGGTTGGCCTGGGAACATTCCAAGTCAGTCCATTGAATGGTCGAGAAGGCTTTCTGCAACAACTGCTGCGCAGACTCTTCCAGACTCTGGGCTTTCTTGACCCAAAAGTTCCGATCATCAAATGATCGAAGACTGCTCCCATCTGCATCTTCCCGCTCACTGCCATCCTGTTGAGTCAAGGTTACATGGTCCTTCCGCATGGCAGCACGCCTGTCAGAGGCTTCCTGCTGTAACCTTTTCCTTAGGTCGACGATGACCCCCATGAGTGGGTCCACCTCCAAAAGCAAAGAGCCCAGTTCGCGCCGAAGGACCAGAAGGGCTTCTTGCTCAATTTCTAAGGCTTCCACCAAATTGCCCCGAGAAACATGAGGTGATTTGCTGGCCGGGGCCTTGCCAGATTTGCTGCCGGCCTTTTCTGGTTTGCTCTCATCAAACCAATCCAATCTGCCCAACATTTCCAGCCGTTTCTGGCAAACGGCCAAATCAGACCAGCGAGAGTTTCGCTTTTGTTTCACCCTGTGCTTGCAATCTTCAAGATTCACAATGTGGGACTCCAGGGACCGTGTGATCTCAAAAACTTTGCTCACTGAGGAAACATTTGCCTGAATTCGACTCCGAGCAGCCTGGCACTCCTCTCTCAACTTCTGTACATGAGAAGCGGCCAGACTTCTGCTGGGTGTTTCAGGTCTCAAATCCTCCATGGCCATCTTGGCCAAAGCCTTGGCTCTCAACATAGCAGCTGGTGCAGCTGGTGCAGCCGCAGGCAGACCCTGGGCCCCCTGGGCATCGAGGCCGTCCACGCCGTCCACTTCGGCTTCGAGGCTCTCGCCGGGCCCCCCGGTGTCCCCGGGTGGAGATCCATCCGCAGCCTGCTCTGTGGGGAGCTCGGGGAGCTCTGGATCCATGGCGGAGTTGTCAAGCGGGGCATCTTGAGGCGGCAAGTGGCCGAGAAGCCAGATTTTTTCTATCGATTTGAATGTGTTGAACATCCCCGGTGGGGTTATCACAATCCAAGATCCAACTACAAGGTGGAAAGAATGGTATGATTCCGGCTGGTTGATTCACACCTGTCCCGCTGCAGATATACATAAACATTGACCTAGCTCAGTTATGAATCAGCGTGCTTATCTTTTGGGGCCCCACTTTATAGTGACAGCTGAAGCTGGAGGATGGGAAACAAAGTAAATGGCAACTCATTTTCATGACCAAAACCTGCGGTCTTTTTAGTGTTTTTTCTTGGCAAAAATGTTGATCTCGGGCTCAACTGGCCTCCACTATCTGAGCACATCAGGGTTTAGGTCATCATTCTCCGCCAAACGGAAGCACTCGCGCTACAGCCTGAACCCACAGAGACATCTCTCATCGCTTTGGGCTGCACTGCCACATCCTGGAAGTCAAGTTGGGTCAGTATCTCAATCCATCAAACATCCAATCAAACCTGTACTGTAGTATGATCGGATAGGTTCAACATGTTTCAACCAGCCCAACAGAGTAACATCACCGGGGAGAACATCCATCCCAGCGCGTCCTTCGTCTCCTCGTCACGTCGATGCCCCTCCGGAAAAAACGGCGATGGTGCCATCGCTTCCATCCGCACTTCGAGGCTGCGTAGCCTCGAGCAATGTCCAGTCATTGCGTGACCCAAACATGTTGGAGGGAAAAGGGCCCAGGATATCTATGATATCGTTTTAAACAAAAATATATAGTATACCAGTATATCATGTTAATGATATTGTAAAATAGCATACAATTATATCTTAAAAATATCGTAAAAAAATGCCTTTGATATCTTACTGATATCGTAAAACATATGATATCTCAATGATATCGTAAAATAGCATATTATCATCAAAAAATATATAGGATGTCTTAATGATATCTTTGAAGAAAACTAGCATGATATCTTAATGATATATAAGATCTTAATGATATCGTAAAAATATATGGTATATCATCTCCATGATATTGTAAAATAAACAGATTATGATATCGGAATCATCTGGTAAAAAAGGCCTATGATATCTTAATAATATCGTAAAATAATAATTTATGAAATCTTTATTATATCGTAAAAAGGCATGTGATATCTTTATGATATCGACAAAAAAAATGTAGGATATCTCAATGTCATCGGAAATGAAGAAAAACATATGATGTCTTCATGATATCATTTACAGTATATAATAATACAGGATATCTTAATAATATCGTATGATGACGTAAAAAGGCCTATGATATCATCTTAATGATATAGAAAAAAAAAACTATTACGGTTTCTTAATAATATCGAACAAATGCATATGATATTTTGATGATATCGTTTAAAAAACAAAAAATGATATTATATCAATTATATCTTAATGATATCGTAATGATGCATACCATGTCATCCTAAGGATATCGTAAAATAACAAATTATGATATCTCAATGACATCGTAAAAAGGCATGTGATATCTTTATGATATACAAAAATGCATGTGATATCTCAATGAGATCCTAAAAATCTATGTGAATTCTTAATGATATCGTAAAAAAATGCATGTAATATCTTAATGATATTCTAAAAATGCATGTGATTTCTTTCTGATATTGTAAAAATGCACATGATATAAACTCTTAAGGATATCGTAAAATGGCATATGATATTTTGATGATTTCGTTTAAAAAAAAAAACATGTTATTATTTATGATTCCGTAAAAATGCATATGATATCTTAGTGATATCGTCCAAAAAATCCCTTGTGATATCTTCATGATATCTTCAAAATGCATGTGATATCATTTCTGATATCAAAAAAACATATATATAAAATAAAATTAAAAAAATGTCCTAATAAAATCACCAAAAAAACATGTGAGATCTTAGTGAAATTTTGAAATGGCATATGATATCTTGATGATATCGTAAAAAGGCGTTTGATATCTCAACGATATCGTAAAAATGCATATGGTATCATCTTCATGATATCGTAAAACAGCATATTATGATACTTTAATGATATCGTAAAAAGGAATATAATATATTGATGATATCGTAAGTCGTCATATGATATCTCAATGATACTATCTTAATGACATCGTAAAAAGGCATATGATATCTTAATGACTGCGTAAAAATGCATATGATATCTTAATGATATCGTAAAAAGACATGTGATATCTTGATGATATCGTAAAAATGCACATGCTATTTTAATGATATCGAAAAACAAAAAAAAATATGTGATATCTTTCTGATAGCGTAAAAATGCATATGATATCAAAATAATATCATAAATACGTATGTGATTTCTTCATGATATCTTATTGATAACGTTTAAAAAAAATGCGCATAATATTATCTTAATGATATCGTCTAAAGGCATAGGATATTATCTTAATGATATTGTAAAAGGCACATGGTATCACATCTCAATGATATCGTGAAAAAGGCATATGATATCTTAGTGATATGGTAAAGAGGCACATGATCTCTTAATGATATGGTAAGAATGCATATGATATCTTAATGATATCGTTTACAAACATATGATATCTTGATTGTATCGTTAAAATACATATGCTTTCTTAATTGCATTAATGATATCTTAATGATAGGGCAATGATATCTATGATTTCTATGAGATTGGTAGAAATGTGGATCCACACTGCAACATTTCAGGAAAAAAGAAGGTGTCCACTGCAGTAACGGAGAACTGTTTGGATCAGACCAAACCACGTGTGTCTTTCAGAAGCGCGTTACGCACTCAACTGCTCTACGGCTTCACTGCCCACCTATCTTGCAAAGTGGAGACTGTCTCAGCAATCAGCTTGGCAGCCTATCCACGGTCCACCACAACAAAACTTAGGTCAATGGTCTTTGACATTTTTTTTCATCATATCTGATTGATGAAAACTCTCAAAAATCTAGGAATCTAGGGCTATCTAGGGCTATCTAGGGCTATCTAGGGCTCCCAGGCTCCAAAACAATACACAGTTTGGATCTTGATAGCACACCAAGCCAAATTCTCTGCGCACCTCAGAGATTTCAGCTGTTGGTTTCGGAACCCGCAGTCCTTGCTCCAAAAGCGCCTGCACAGGAACAAACAAGGCTATAAAATACTATAAAACCCCACTTTCCTCACCTATAACAGGCTGGGATACTATGAATAACAAGAGTTCAGCTGATTTGTTATGTGCGCAAATGCCCTCAAATGCTTCCAATAAACCCAACAAGAAATCATCCCAACTTGACCAGAAATGGTACGAATCTTCCCCAATCGGAAGTTTCTTATTGAATTTTTCAAACATTCCAGACCTCAAAGTTCGCCAGCCGATTCTCAATGGTTGGCAACAGCGCTTTCGCAGTTCTCTCCGCCACTTCCTGGCTCTGTACCATCAAGCAGCATGTGGGACCCAACAATGGGCCATTGTTGGGTCCTGTACATGGCCTACTCTCATGTCATGAAAATGGCTATGTTTCATGGGGAATTTGATGATTAATCAATGGATTTAGATGCTGCAAAAATGGACAAAACCCATCGTGAAGTTTCAAGGTTCTCGTGATCTTGGCTTGCCAGGGTCAAAACTCCCGTTTTGTTCTTTCACGTTGCCAACGTGATCCCAACACACAGACCCCCTCTGGGCCCTGCTAGAGGAACAGTCCTGTACCGAGCTGGACCTGAACGAGTGAGAGCGAGGGATGGGATCTATCATGATCTAATTGAGAAACGGTTGAATTTTGGATCCAAAAATGGATGTTCATGGTCAAAATTGGACCAAAAAACAATAAAATGCATTTCCCTGCGGAATCATCACAACCAGGAAAACAGATGTGAATCGCCTCACAAATCAACTCAGCCCACTGCGGTTCCAGCTGCGCGCCGTGGGTCACAGAGTTCTGCAAGAAAAGATTGAATAGGAGGCCAACAGCGAATGGTGAAATGAACCATGTCTCCATGTCTGATTTTGGGGCCAAAACCCAATGGTTCATCAATTTTCCCCTAATGGTCATGTTAGGGGTGACCCCATGTAGCCTCTTCATGATATGTACATGGCAAGACGCACCTCTGGCCGGCCCGGAGTTGGAGACCTGAATCAAAGCCCCGCGGAAAAGACATACAAGACCTCTCTTAAGACCCCACATACCCAGGAGCGAAATAAGGTTTTATCGAGGGAATGAAATCAGTTAAGACCACGGGATGATTTTCAATATTATGTTTTACACCGAAAAAATGCCCAGAAATCGCCCCCCACAATTCCAAATCGGCCAAGCATGCGGCACTGGGCGCAGGCCACTTGGAGCAACAAAGGTCATGTTCTCAGGGACCTTGGACAAAGTTTTTGATGGGGGACCCCAAAATCATACAAAGTTGATAATTTTTTATAGGCAAACCAATCGATTTGGCCGCAGTTTTGGGAAACGCCCATACTTGAAATTCCCAGCTGTGGCATTTCAATGCTCTCGACAATCAAACAAGCATCACATTTGTCTAGGCCGACTGCCCAGGGGCTCGGCATGCGCGTATTTACAATCGGGTATTTTGCATCGAAACTGTATAACGTGGTATGCATGGATGGCAAATGGTCTTCGCAAAGTGCAAGGCTGGTGTCATGAAGTCATGCGCAACGTGGTTTCATCATCTTGACAGCCGATATCCTCCATAGTTTTCGAGCAACGGCCAAGTGGGTTATACCAGCAAAATGGCATTCACAACCTATTTGTAATAGTCACTCTATGCGTCATACAACATCATGCAATTTGGCACTCCTTCCTTGCAGTTGTCACGAGGTCCCAGCTACAAACTGGATCTTGTTTTTGAGGTACCATCCCCTCATAGGGCATGAACCATGAACCTTTTTGAAGCATGGGGTGCATCTCACAGACTCAGCACAGCAATTGGAAATTTATCGTTCCTCCGTGTGCTGGGCCAGGTGGCGGCCAGGTGCGATTCACAGCTGACTTTCTCAGCCACCAGGAACTCTCGTATAGTCCTCCGGCTTTGCCGGTTTTGCAAGATTAAATCCATTGATAATATTGTAAAAAAATTCAAATATCTTGCAACTTGCCAAACATTGTGCAACGTCAAAACATCTTTGGAACCGGCCAGTTACAACTTACAAGAGAAAGTTCGGAGCATAGCATCAAGAGCGGGTTGAAAGGTATTTGATAAAGTTCAGAGCGTAGCATCAGGAGCGTACCGCAAGTTACAATAGGAAATTCAAAGCGGATGAGTAAGAGCGTGTTACAAGTTTTCCACCCCCTCCCCCCCAACCTCACCTCCCCCCCACCCCCCCGCCACCCCAACACGGTCAACATAATTTCCTTCACTTATGTTTGGATATTTTCTGTTGTGTTTTTCTTTCAGTATCACATTTGTTCTGACCCGAATTACGTTATGAAAATTGTGCGCATTATTTGGTGTTGTCTTGGTGCTACTGTGGATTTGGTTGTTGTATCTATTCAATGATGGCTTTAGCAGCCTTTAGCACTTCCACCCATGTTTTGGTTTTGTAATGCCTCAATCTGTCCCCAATCATTCTTTTGACCGTGTGTATGACCCTTTCTGCCTGATTTGCATGCGTCTTTGCTATTACGTGTGTTATACCTTCCTCCCTAAAAAATGTTTGCAGTTTCTTGCTGTTCAACGGTCCTTCGTCGTCGGTGTAAATCGACAAAAGCTGACCTAATACCTTGAAACACTCCATGACTGCTTTATAAACGTCATCACCATCTTTATTCTCAATAGGGACAATGTGACATGTTTTGCTGAAAATATCTATGCATCTGAAACCATATCTTAGTTGACTTTTGATTTCAGAACCTACGTCTCGCAGCAAACTGGTGACATCCATCAAGTCAAATTCATACTTCGGGAACGGTGCAGTGTAGCAATTGTAGTTCTTGTAATTTCGTGTTTGCTTGTTCGGTTGCGCCCTCATCCATGTAGATACCATATCCAAAGTTATGCCTAGATCGACTCTTCTAACCTTTTCGTACAAGTCTCTCACCGAACCGAAGCCCTCCTCCACGTCGTAATATATTTTTTTGCAAGCGGGAGCGGACTTTTCTCGAGCACTAAAAGCCTGACGAAATGGTCATGCAATTCACATGCCACTGAGGTGAAAAACTTGTTACACTTCTCATCAAGATTTGTGCTGTGTCATCCATGAGTGCTGCCACCAATTGTACGCACTCCTCCTCAGCATCAGGACGTTTTAACTCGTGTTGCTGTTTCCTTCTCTTCCAACAAAATTCCAGCACTCATCGCTGGACTTCCACTTCCAGAAAATTTTGGTTTCAACGCTCACGGTTTCTGAGTTTTGCTTCAAATTTGCCATAGAGTAGGGATGCCTGCAATCTGTTTGCCCTTGCATGTTCTGCCAGTCGTAGGAAAAGGTCTGCTGATTCTTCTTTGTACTCATTCACCAGACTTTCATCAATTCCACCACGCACTGCAGTTAGCATGGCCAGAATGAGAGATTGCATCTGTGCCGCATCTCTCCAATCTCCACGCTGAATTGCAAAGGCATGTTGCTCCTTCACATCCTCTATCAACTGCGTCATAGGTGGAAGTTGTTGCTCTCCACCTTCATCCATTTCATCGTCGTCTGAAGTCTCTGATTCACATTGGAATCTGCACCATGAGAAATTGGCATGTCAGTTGTTTCTGCATGTTCAGCTCTGGCACGTTGTCTGACCAAACGCAATCATGCATTGCCAAACTTGTAAACTGGTCAGTTGTAAGGCCAAAGCCAAAACGCAAAAATCCACCGCTCTCAACCAAACCATAATGCAAACCACAAATATAGTCATGCAGCATTGAGTGTTCATTGCTCTGTTCCACCAAGCGTCCATCATGCATCATCAATCGATTGTGCAGTTCATTGATCCTTGTTTCCTGCTGGGCAATGTACCCATCTTCATCTGCCACTTGATTCCAGCAATGGAAGAAATCTTGTTGCATCTGTTTCACAACTGCCTCTTGCTCACTCAAACGCTTGTTGAATCTCTTCCAAACAAAGTAAAATGCCACCGCAAGAATCACCACAAAAAAGCACAACAAGCAAATTGCAAGCCAAAGACCAGAACTGTTACTGTCACGCTCAACCGCCTTGATGTCCTTTGGACACATGTTCACAACCTTTGCTTCCGCCGCCAAAGACTCAAGGCTTTGTACTCCAAGAATCAAAGTGATCGTGTTGATGGCTTTGCCAAGTTTGCTCAAAGCCTTTCGAGCCACAACAGGCGTATGCGCCCTACCCCCTGCTTGGAGATCAGTTGACGTGCTGCAGAGTTGTCTGTAATGATGGTGCTCGGTTTGAACCTGTAGGAGAAATTCCAAACAATTCTTCATCAAATGTCTCAGAAATCATACTGTGGAGTTCAGATTCTGAGCTGAGTGAAATGATATGCTGGGACCTGCTGCTTGCAAAAACAAAGCGCCCGTTGACAAACAACACTGAGCAACTTGTGCTTCTTCGACTTGATTTGTTTCCACACCAATCTGCGTCAGTGAATCCTTCAAGTAACCAAAAAGCCTCGGTGCCTTTCCTCCACTTTCCTGCTCCATGCTCAGGCCAGTCAAGTTTGATCCCCTCCTGAGCTTTTGGGGTATCCAATCAACTTGCGCAAACGCTGAACTGAACACAAAGTTGGAGCAGCCATGAAAGAGGACAATTCCTTGACGCTGCACATGATGTCTACCCTGTCACGTGACAAGTACAGAAGAAGACCAATGATGCTTCTGTAGTTATTTTTATTTTTTTCCTCGAGTATGGCCGATGTCGCACTGTGGCTCGGTCCTTACATGAGCATAAGCAGTAAAACATCAATTTGTACAAGGACCAAAAGGGTCCGGTAATGCAGGCAAATCACAACAAACCAAAACAACCCACAAACCAGCCAGACGACCCGCAAATCCCCCAGCCAGACTTGCGTTTCGTCAAGAGAAACAACAAACCAGACACACAAAAGGGGCCGGAGCCCAAACAAAAACACCCACCAAGATTTGCCAAAGGACACAGTGGTTTGACCACTGCATCACTCTCAAAAACATGCGAAAATGAATTAAGAACCACGACATTCAAGAAGACATGAAGGCCTAAACAGTTTGCCTGTCTACTTTGGCATAGATGTGCCGAAGCTGTACATGAGCACGGGGCTACGACTATGCCTCTCTCAGCGTCCTCTCAGATCAGCTTGTCCAGAAGGCCTCCATGGACAGAATCACTATCATATATTCTCCGTGAGCAAGAATGTCGTGGTGGTCACTGTGCCAGGTACCCCCCAGTAGGGGAGGCGGACGGCAGTGGCGCACAGGAAGCTTCGCAAGCCAGTGAAAAACTTCCATACAGCCATCGCAAATCATGTAGTGCAGGGCCCCTAATTTCATAGGGGAGAAATGTAAACCTGCAAAGTGATTGAGCTCCGCCAGTGATACTCCTCAGCTATAGGCAACGCTCGCAAAGATGAAAAGCATGCAAAAATATCTTCAGTCGTGCAGATAGCATGAAGCCAGACAATGCGATGACTCCACGCTTGGACAGCAAAAGAAAGCCGAAGATTGATATGACTGCAAACAACAGTTTCGCCATACCAACTTTACATTCGGCAACGTAGCTCTAGTTATTGCAGGTTCGCTAAACGTGCCAACCGCAGAACTGTTCAAGACATTTCAGGGTGTCATCGTCCCTGAAAGACCTGCAGTGCATTGCAGTATGCAAAGTGGACGAATGTAGTGCATCCAAACCCGTACCACTACTCACCCACAGAGCAGGCAGGCTGCAGAGTCACCAAGTCCCGTCCACCAACTGACGAACCATGTAGGCAGACTTGTGCTGCTCGCGGGCGCCCCAGGCTGTCCTCCAGGGAGCACCACTGGATTGCTCCAGTGAGACTCACTGCAGCGCAGCCTGGTCCAATGGCTTCGGCCGGCTACCTACCGCCCCTCTCAGATAGACACAACCAACCACGCAGAGCCGACACCCAGTACAAACTCAGATGAGACAAACGAATTCAGGTAGAAACCTCCCCCGGAGGAGGGCAAAGCAAAGGAAGAGGGGCATAGGGGGCGCCAAAAGAGTCCAGTCCTTAGTCACCTTAGTTTTTTTCCGGACGGCGCCAATTGGCTTCGCCTGGTTGCGAAAATCCAACAGGACCTAATTACAACCACTAGTCGCGCTCCTAACGTCGCAAGGGGTCGGCTTAACTCCGCGTCGAGCGTTTAACAAGTTAAAACCCAAAAACACGACGGCTGTCACTGCAAAACTCAATTCCCTTTTCCACACAGGAAACACAAAGCAAGAAAGCTGTCTATCCAGCTATGTCGTGCACATGCAGCATGCATGTTTGAACTTCTCTTGTTCTGGCTGGTCTGCTCTGTTGTAAAAAGGCAGCGGCGGCATGCAAAAATAACTTCAGAATAAAACGGTCTCCACAAACTTCTTCTCACTCAAAGGCAGTGAATTCGACCTGTTCGAATTCACCATGTTGTTCCACAAACATCTTTGTTCATTCGCATCTTCTCGTCAAATTCCAAAAACATCGAAAACGTTGTCAAAAACATTTGGCA